GTAATTGTTGACAGTGTGGACAGTGTAGTAATCAATCATATCACAGTGGTATTTGTTGACAGTGTGGACAGGGTAGTAGTCAGTCATATTACAGTGGTAATAGTTGACAGTGTGGACAGGGTAGTAGTCAATCATATGACAGTGGTAATTGTTGACAGTGTGGACAGGGTAGTAGTCAATCATATCACAGTGGTATTTGTTGACAGTGTGGACAGGGTAGTAGTCAGTCATATTACAGTGTTGACAGCGTGCACGGAATAGCCCATCATATCAAGTAATTGTTGAGCAGGAATGTCTGCCATCTCTCTGTCTGTATGAGTATGTGTCATATTTTGTTCCACAGGGTGAATTCAAATACAATTATGTGCATTTTAATCAGCTAATTTGCATATTAAGTGTTATTAAGTTTGTTGTGCATGTTTTCAGTTTTTAGCAGTTTGGTCAAATGTATTGAAATTGTGGGGGTACTTTTTGTTTGTGTAGATGAATATTGATATAAATTTGTGTGTATCATAGTTAATTTGCAGCAGCGTGAGCAAGGCTGAGTCAGAAATGCTTGTATGTTAGTTCTGTAAACAGCAAGTATTATTGAATTCATTTCACATAGGAGCATTTATCTCTTGTAAATACATTGTATCTCTAACTTGACACTCAAGCATCAACTTATTATCAATGATTGCCTAATTAACATAGGAATGATACACTTCTTCAGGGGAGTCTAATATTTTCACTATTCATCTGTACACATATAGCTGCAAAGACCTCATCCAATGAAGCTGAGATGGTTGATGTCAATGACATGTCAGAGACATGCATTGCAGACCAAAATAAGGATATAGAAGATGGGGACAAAGAACAACCTACTGAAGAAAGTGAACACAAAGATGAAGACAGTAAAATTGACTCAAACAGGTTCGAAATGGTCAGTTCTGGTGCTGAGGACAAAGAGAGCAACTGTGAATCTTCTTTGACCTCATCTACAAGTGTGTCTCCTGAGAAAGACAAGAGTGTGGAAAACATAGAGAAAATGGATACAATTGATGAAGACTATGAAAGTGATAGTGATGATGAGAAAGAAGGATTGTCTAAAGAAGAGTTAAAAGCAAGACAGAAAGAAAAGAGAGAAAAGGTGATTTTTTTTAAGCTCATTCAATTATTATATTATTATTATAATGTGACTGGTGATTTATAATTATTGTCTTTATGTTAGGAAATTATCACATTCAACTTCCATTGCACTGCTTCATCATGACTCTTTATCAGCTCCCATATGGATTGACCTATATATTAGACATGCCTGGACCGATTACATTCAAACTTCTCACATAGATCTTACATTATATTATACATATGCACATCAATTTGTTTCACAATCTGATTCAAGATGGCTAAATTGTGCTGAAAAAATCATCGAAATCTAGCATTTTCTGGCTGTTTACAGATGGATTTTGATGCACATCATTTTGTTTTTCAGATTGCATTCAAAATGGCCGATGGCAGCCATTTTGTTTTTGATGAGATTCTAATTCCATATCTCTTATATGCTTTGACTGATTATGTTCAAATTTTATATTTATTCACTATACATCATGTTATAGATATACAGATTTATTGGTTTGATGATCTTATTCAAAATGGCCTAATGGTGGCCATTTTTGTGTTAAAAAATCAAGCATTTCTGGCATTCCGGAAGCAGATCTTGTTCATTTATGGATAGATTTTGTTCTAATTTGGTACATACATTAGACATTACGGGTCCCTGTTCATGTCATTTTGTTTTTTAAGATCGGATTCAAATTGGCTAACTGGCAGTCATTTTGTTTTAATGAATGCGGTTCTAGAGCCATATCTATTCATTATAAAAATCATTATATGTCATGTATTTGTTTGATGATCTGATACAAAATGGCCGACTAGTGACCATTTTGTTTTAATTACTGCTGTATGTCTTTTTTCGAAGTTTAACAATTTATTTGTATGATTATTCATGCACCATCTCTGCTACAATAATCCAAAGGCATTATAAAAAGTTATTCTTGTATCCATCTTATTAAGGCGCTATATATGATGATTATGCGTCAGCATAGTTTGTGTTAATGCTGGGCAACGGTGCCTCAGTGTTAATCCCCTACACATGACTTATGCAACGCACGCCAGTCGTAATCCCCAGCACATATGACATCAATGTGTGCCCCCATTCATAGGCATGTGACCTTCCATCTCGTGCACGCCTCGCCCATGCTATTTCCATTCACATGCATACTCTAAGCTCGTACTCATGACTGTCATTTGCCTAATCCTACTTGCTATGCAATCGTCAAGCTTTTCTGTATCCTGCTTCACCTTAGCATAGTCATTCCATGTTCAGCAAGCGACCTGAACCTGTCTCCAAGCTATCCCACCCAATCGCTACCTCATTATTTAAACATTCAACTCCTGCATCAACTTGTATTACATTTCAACATTGTTTCAATAAAGTTAAGGGGGGTTGTCATCGCAGTGCATGCGGGCACCACTCAATTAACACGCTGCCATTCTTCGCTAATTCTTTCCCAGGGTACAGCTGGACAAGAAGTGGAAGCTGGGGCTGAGATGTCAGCCTTGGTGAACTATGTCACTCCTGTGCATTTTCACAGCTTTGAATATTCAGAAAGTAAGTTCTAGAATGATGGAATGTCAAAAAATGGGACCCTAAATATTTATCCAGTGTCAGTGTTTACTAACTATTATAAATATAGTTGTGTGTATACTTGCTTGTATATATGTACTTCTTTGAGCAATTAACAATTTACATAATTGACTAATAATAACTATTATTATACATCTGTCACCGTAAAGCCGTAATTTTGCGGTATTTTTTCATCGTATCATATTTGGAAATGCAAATTCAAAATATGGAATGATTACGCATGTAAGCGTAATACTAAAAACAAACATGGCTGCCTCCAGAGTTTGACCGGACTCAACACAAAAAAGTTTGCTATAATATCTGTTCTTAATGTTTGGGATTTCCGGCATTCCCATGATGTATCATTGGGAAGAAAACATCAGACAGTACGCCATCGCATTGACCTCTGTTGCGCGTTGGTTGATACTCCTGCTGTACTGTCATTGTGCATACTTTTCGGTATCCTCGTAATTTATAACCTCATATTATTATACATCTAGAACAGAAAAAACAAAAGAATTTGTCGTTATGTCAAAGGCCATATCGACACTCATTCCAAAACATATCAGTACTTATTCAAGCATTTGAATTTTCCTTTAAATGGGGTAAACTACGTCATGTACGTGTACAGGGTTATTGTTGTCACAGTCAAGCACCTTAGTCACTTTATTTTAATACATTGTACACATAACTGCTATAATAGCACATGATGGAAATAGTAAACATTTGAACAGTGCAAAACATTGTATATGTTGCTATTTGGGCTATAATCTTTCATTAAATTATTAAATCACAAGAATACCACAAAACATGCACTCAGGCAGTACTGGGTTGCATGGATCTTAGCTCAGAGATCGATTGATTCGATCACCCACACTGCCTTCATGAATATTTTGCGGTATTCTCATGACAACCTCATATAACATACAAGACCGGGGAAATAACTCATCTAGATCATGATGATGTGTTTGAGTAAGAACAATTTTGCCTTTGGTACGAGTTATTGAATATATATATTTTGGTAAACTATAATTCAAATTTTTTTTTTTTCGCAGAGAGAAATCGATCATATGAACTATCCTCATTTGTAGAAACCACGGCAATGATGCATGTTAAAGGAACTCCAGTTGAATTTGTAAAGTATCCTTAAAATAACAATTAAGCACAGTGAAGACAAACGATAGCAGGCCTAGGGGTGTAACATCATCTATTAACACGTGAAGTCATAGAATTATAAATTTTCAGTTCCTGTTCAAATGAAGTCTGAAACTATAAATTTGGGTTCTGTCCATGTTGTTAGCCATTTTTGACATAAAATAGGGTTAAATCCTCACAACTAAATGTTTCTGCAACCAATTCTCTGAGATATTTGGCAGATTTCAATTAAACTTTTTTTGACAAAACATATTTTTTTCAAAGTCTGATTCAAGATGGCTGCCTGCATGTTGTTTGATATATATATAAGGGTAACTCAGGGTAATTGCACATGGAAAAGGCACAGTTTCATCTATATACCTCTTGCATGTAAGCACCAATTAGGAATATATATCTTGTATAAATGTTCTTTTCATGACAAAATACATTTTACAGGTCTAGAAAGTTGGACTGACTTTATATTTAGACTACAGAGAGAAAATTTGAAGCTATTTATAACCTGTCCCTCACGCATAGAAAACATATTTGCCCAGTCTCCACTATTTTTGGCACAACTTGTCTCCATCCACTTCTTTTTTTTGCCTTCATTTATAATTTTTTTAAAACAGAAAATTATGTATTCCACCCTCACTATAAAGTTCCTCCTGTCCTCTCCTTCAAAATCTATTTTCCTGACCCTTAATTTTTGAAACTATTATGTAACACATGCAGTTGAAAGATAATGCAAGCATATTAATCCTTCTATTCACTTTTCATTCAAATTTTTGAATTAAGCGTGATGCACTGCTCGTTATTGAGTGATTACACTTTGACCAATGTGTGCAATTATAATGATTAATACTGTAACAGGAAGTGGTAAAAAACAGGAATTGAATTGCACTGGAGCAGAAGTTAAACAAACACTGATTAGTCAATGCCGACCTTGTGATGTATATTGACCCTAATTAACATAATTTAATAATAATAATAATAATAATAATAACTTTATTGCATCCTTAGAAATACAATGTTTCTTATCAGTTAATAGCAATAAAGATTAGTTGTGATAACTACTACTACGAAAAGAAAGTTTGTTGTTAAAAAAAAAAAAAAAAAAAAAGATAAAGCAAGTGTTACATATCAAATGGCATTTTTATTTCTTGATTGAAATGCATTATGAATATAGTTGCCAATCTTTTTTATTATTACATCATCTTTTGAAGTCATCAAGAAATTAAATTTCTGGAGATCATCCTGGGTTTCTTGTGGAAATATAATGTCTTGTATGATTTGTTGGCGTATTACTTTATATTGTGGACATTTCATAACAAAGTGCAGT